ATCGATATTTTTTTAGGTTTAGTTGTCGATTTTTTTTTTGAGATTTTTTCATCTGAATATGATTTCGTTCTGTACTTTATTGATACTTTTTCGTAATTAGAAAAATCAAAATTTATATTTTGCGTTTAACAGCATTCGAACCCGAGTCTTCCCGAAAGTTAACAAATAGTAACAAGTATCTCTGCGCCCTTAGCTACAACCACAACATGTAAATGTGTTTTCAAATCTTCAGTTTGAATTAAATTTCTTTCAAGCGCTCAAACAATTTTATATTAAGTTTTTTCAATAAATATCTTTTCTGTTCAAAATTTCAAATCTTTAAATCTCAGTAAGCTGTAGAAAAAAACAATGGTATAATATCTGTGTTCGTATGGAAAAGTAGCTTATGTCGAAAGGCCGGCTTTAGTATGATGCGGCATTCCCTTTGTTTTTTAAACGACAAGGAATTTTTTGATGAGACTTAAAAAGAATATTGACTTGCTAGTATCGGAACTATTTCTTGTACGTTTATTTGCTAAAAGTTGTTTAACGGCTTAGCGCCCGTGAGTCATTCGCAATCGTATGCTGCGAATGCCGATTTATACTAAAGCCAGCCTTTCGACATAAGCTACTTTTCCATACGAACACAGAAATAAAAATAAAAATAGGGCTTTCGCTTATATTCTCATTGAGTTCTTTTCACTTAGAAGTATGTAAATTTGTAAAATTTTGGAAAAACCCTTTTTTTCTTAGTGTGTGATTTCGTTTTTGACTTGGATATGCTCTTAACCATACCACGTATTCTACGTTTAAATATAGCGGCTGTATCTCCGATACAGCCTGCAGACCAAGACGAGGGCGCTGGACTGTTCCTTTTTTTTTATATATTTTTAATGAAAGCTCACATGCTTTTAACTCAATCACTTGACTTGACTTGACTTGAATGCTGCGCAGCAGTACGATTTGAGCTGCATTTTACTTACTGGAGAGGAACGTTAGGCGGGCATTTCTCAAGGTGAAGGAGTCAGATATTTTTATGGCTCGCCACCATCAACTCAGTACTACTGAAGCTCAGCCAGGGGGGAGTAAATTAGTGGTCTACGCTGATGAAACAGTAATTTTAGTAAGAAGGTTATTTTTATCTGTGATCGGAAAGGAATAAGGTCCCTAGCTTTGAATTACGAAAGTGCAATGACAAGCGTACGATTATCTTAACGAGCGAAGTATCTGGGGGTCATACTGTATCCTAAGCTTATTTGGTGATTAAATATAGAAGAGAGAGGCAAGACACCGAATCTTGTCATTTACTCTTGCAAGCGCTTTTCCGAGAAAACATGCCATCTTAATCCAAAGGTTGTGGACATTCTTTTTGAGCATACTTTTCCATTTTATGTATTGTCAATTTCAGTACGACCCGATGCCTCATTTCGAAGCCTTATCTAATAAAGTTGCAAGTACGGCGGTTATCATTTTGGACGATTGGTGAACACATACTTTTTGATAAAAATATGTAAAAACTGGAGATACTTAGTGTAATTTTTAGATCGTCGTTCTCAAAAAAAAAAAAAAAAATTGTTCATTAAAGCATTTTTTTCGAATGAAAAGTTCTATGCTACGGCCATAATTGATGATTTTATACACTCTGTGTCCTTCATGAGGAAATGTAAATCCAGTGTCAAATCAATTCGAATCCTCTCAGCAGCTTTCATTAAACGCGTGTATGTAAATCGATTTATAAATCATGAGCCGCTCAAATGCTTGCTCTAAAATTGCGCAGATAATAATAATGCATTTAACCACAAAAAAATAATTAAATACTCATATTAAGTACATCTTCAGTAAAATATGCTTCAGGCCAATAAGCATCATAATGCACTCAAGTGTGATAAACTAACCAAAATAAGCTTAAAGTTTTTAGACTGTAAAATTGCCAGCTCTTATATACACACATACAAATGTACATATGTATGTATATTCTTCCATATAAAATTTGAATAATACTGTTTTTATAAGTGACTATTTTTGCATATTTTAGTTAGTGTCATATTTTATGTTTTGAATTTCGTTCGCATCTGCATATGCATTTGTACATAGCAAGCACATATGGATGTACGTACACATACACATTATTATGGAAATGAAATTAAAGACTTATATTTATCCATATAACTGCATCTGTATGTACGCGCAATACATTTCTCATGCAAATATTATACATTTTTTGTTTGTCAATTTGTTTTCAGCGGCAGAGTGCATTAAATGGAGGAGTCATCGAGTGTGCAAAATTAATTAAGTACAGAACTTTAATGCCTTCAGGGCCTGAAATCGGTCAAGTATTCAATGGAAAAGATGGTGCGTGTTTTTGAAGTACATACATATGTATATGTGTGTACATTTGTATATATGGTAATGCGAATGACAATAATGAAGTAGCACAAATAATGAATAACTCTTAATGTCAGTTTA